TGCTTGCTCCGACTTCTAAGCTCCTTCTCCTTTCCAAATTGCTTGCAGCAACTTAATCCTTTCTTTCGGGGACAGGCAGGGCCCCACTGTTTTCCTGGTTTCCAGGCTGGGCTGTGGGTTACCCAGGATGGGAGGAGCAGTGAGGCCACGCTGGAATAGCCTTCCCTCACACGGAGCAACAACTAGCAAGTGCAAAGCAAAATGGGGCTCTGCAGTCTCCACGCAGGCCCCTGCAGGGTTCATGCTAAAAACATGCTGTGCAGGAAGTGTGCCCAGAGGCCATGGCCAGGGCGGAGACTTGCCAGGTGCTCACGGCGGGCTGGAGAAAAATTCTCACACAGAGTTTAGGACAGAAAGAAGTACAAAGTTTATTTACCTTCCCAAGAAAGAAAGAGACAGACATAGAGGGAGATCAGGAGAGAGAGGGAGAGAGAGGGAGAGGGAGAGGGAGAGGGCATTGAAGAAAAGGTAGAGGCCCTGGGCAGAGGTTACAGGGTGAAATGGCTTTCGGTCCTCTGCTGCAGCGGGCTGATAACAGAAGCCGCTGTGAGGAGTCGGGGAATTCCTTTTTGTTGTGTTTTCTTCTGGGTTATCTGTGTCTTTGAAATCTGTTTCTTTGACGGCAACTGAGGCAGAGAGCTGGAACAGAACTCTGTCAGCTTGGGGGCTCTTCAAGGCTGAGAAAACGAAAGTCACAAAGATAAGGAGTGAGGTCACAGGTGCTGTGACTAAACAAAGGACAGTTGTGCTGTGAGTTTATCCCTTACTGTCTGTTAGATGGGTTACTAGGAAGGCCACCTTTCAACTATGTTCCTGGCCCCCCACAAACATGCAGTGAGCACCCACAGGCGCTGGGCTCCGTGCCAGGCTCTGGGGAGAGCCCGTGGTGGGGACAGTGGGCAGCCACACACTCTGCGCTCTGGGAGGCCCAGGCACTCCTGATCTGCCCATCTGGCCCGAGTTTCCTGACCTTCTCCGAGTTGGTGGATGACCAACTGCCCCTTTTCCTGGACCATGGGGGGAACAGCCCCCTTCCTGGGTGGCTCCTGGCACTCCAGGCTTTCCTAAGACCCAGCAAGAGGAGGGGAAGTTCCTCTGCCAGGGCTCAGACGTCCCCAGGGACCCTCCTCCCCAGCCCTCGCAGCTGCAACCTTCTAGGGCAAAGTTGCCTGCCGGGAGGAGGGAGGTCAGACAGGCCTTATCATGCCCCCCTCCCTTCTTGGAGACTTCCTTTGTAACCCATTAACAGGCCTAAGGGTATGCAAGACACACCTGCAGGTCCTCAATTTATGCAACAAATGGTGGCTTATCTCTGGTAGATAGTTCATGTGAAAACATTCCAAGTCTTTAGACAAAGCTTCATGTCTTTAGCCAATTACAATCTAAAGAATCTTTAAACCCACCTATAACCTGTAAGCCCCCCGGCTTCAAGATGGCCCTCCTTTTTGGGCCAAACCAATGTATACCTCCCACATATTGATTGATGGCTTTACCCGTAACCTTTGTCTCTAAAATGTATAAAAACCAAACTGTGACCCTGCCACAACGAGTCCACTTGCCCAAGGCCTCTTGGCAGTGGCTCTGGGTCATGGTCCTCAAATTTGGCTCAGAATAAATCTCTTTAAAATTATTTTGCAGAGTTTGACTTTTTTCCATTGACAGAGGAGGCGCCCAAGTCCAGCCACAGGCGGTCTGCACCTGGGCCCAGGTCTTCTGTTTAAGAAGAGGAAGAAATCAGGAAAGCGGCAGGGAAGTGCCCTGGGGCTTGGGGGAGGGTTGCCATTTTCAAATAGTGGCCAAGAAGGCATGGCACGAGGGCAGCAGTCTGCTGGGACTGGGAGGTCGGCAGCAAGCCTCCAGGAGAAGCGCGCCCGGCGGCCGTGCAGGGACCCTGGGCTGGGCCATGCTGGGCTGGTGGCGGGAGCGCAGCAGGGGCAGAAGGGGCTGCGGGCCTTTTTCTCTGAGCGAGGTGGAGCCATGGAGGCCGAGCGGAGGAGGGCCGGGGGCCAGGCTCACACAGGGCTTGCTGGCTGCACAGTGGCCGGGTGACGGCCGAGCAGGCTGTGAGGGGCAGCAGGCCCTGCCTGGGCCAGAGGCCGGGTTCCAGGCCGGACATTGCCCACAAGGGAGCAGCACATTCCAGGATCCGCTGATGGACTGGATTTGAGTTGAGAAAGCAGGAAAGAAACCAAGGTAACCTCAAGGGTGTCACGTGGGCAGAGCTGGGAGCAGGGCACGTAAGCAGGCCTGGCATGGGCCACGATGTCCGAAGGTGTCAGGTAGGCAGCTGTATGTGCCAGTCAGGTCAGAGTAGGGGCCTGGCTCAGGAGAGAACCTGGGTACCCAGCACGCAGAGCCTCGGGAGGGCAGGGGACCCAGGAGAAAGGCCATGTATGCAGGAGGCTGGGCCCAGCCTCCAGGAAAGCCTCTGGCTCAGGGCTGGGTGAGCCTGTCCCTGCTTAGCCACGTAGTGGCCTTGGGAGCCCCGCCCCCAGCCCGCTTTGCCCGTCTGTAGGGCTGGCTGCAGGCTGGCAGCCATGGTCACGACCTACTGACCGAGTGCTACAAGGGCCTGGTGGCAGGAAGCTGCACGTGACCCACACGAACAGCCACCAAGTGCTCAGTGTGGACCTCACGGCCTGCCTAGATTCCAGGTCCACAGAACCGGTCCATAACTGCAGGGCTTGCAGTTCTGTCCAAAATGGTCCCTCTGCACCCTGGCCTGGTGGGTAGCAGGTCTAACCAGCCTCCCTCCACCTCCCAGAACTGCCCACGGGGCCCTGACTGCTCCCACACAGGGTCCTGAACCCACACACCCTGTCCTGCATCTGACCCTGGACAAAGGGTCCAGACGGTTTCTCCACTCCCGTCTCCTCTCACCCCTTCCCCGCTGGGTGGCTTAGAGCTCTGGCTACTGCCTGGTCTCCTTTTCCCAGGCGTGCAGTCATGTGCCTCTAGCCCAGCCGCCTGCACAGTCCTCTAGACTTTTAGGTTCCCCTGTTACTCTGCAATCCATACTGAAAATTATTGACTGTGGAAATCCACACATTTGGTGTTTCTTTTTCGTATGTTTTTTCTGAGCGCATGACCAGAAAGGATACAGGTCCTGAACCTTGTCCCTGGGGAGGCCGTGTGGTGAGCGTGGGCTGGAAGTCCCAGCTCAGCAAGCAACTGGTCACGTGGCCATGGGTGTGGCTTCGCCTCTCGGTGCCCCATCTCCTTGTCTGCACAATGGGGACAGTGACAGCCCAGCCTCACGAGGTGAGAGGAGTTAATAGCCGTCAAGTCTCAGAACAGTGCCTGACACACTGTGAGTCCTTCCCAGCCCCAGCGACTATTCTTGGCCCCTGAGCAGTGATGGATGGGCACGGCCCTCTCACCTACTCCAGGTTAGCGCCAGAGTCAAAAGATAGAAACTGCTACATTATTCAAGCCTGGCCACTTGCGCACGCGGAGTCTCGTATCAAGCTGCAGCACCGAGGGGTCAAAAGGAGACCTATTTTAGTTAGCTGCACGAGCTCTCTTTACATTTCAGCTTCATGCAGCATCTGCCAAAGGTGTGCTTGGGAACAGGACACATTAACATAATCTCACCACTGAGCTAAATCCAGCGTCTCAGAATCCAAAGGGACAGAACCCAGACTGAAAGTCAGGGCAGGGACCCGGCCACATGCTGCTGTATTCTCCCATCTGCAGATGTTTCGGGGTGTCCTGTCCCTTCAGGGCACAGCCTCTGCCCCCATGGTCAGGAGGTGCCTTCCAAGAGCTCTGTTCCCCTGCAAGTCTGCAGCGCCAGGCCTCCTTATCTGCTCCAGCTGCCGCGGCCTGGGCTGCTACCACGTGTGACTCCGGAGCCGAGCACAGGCTGGGGCACCCGGGTCCCCCGTGTCAGCCTCATCAAAGCAAGAACGCCTGAGAAAGCAGAGGCTTGAGGGACTAGCTCCCTTTTCTTTCCTAATACATGGTAAAATGAATACATAACTCTTAAAATAAAAACCTGTGCAGCTAGACTTCTAACGGGACAGCATCACACTTGGGACACGCCTTGCCTGGAGTTTCGGCTGTCAGACCTTGGAGGGTCCATAGAATCATCTCACTGCCTTGTTTAGGAAAAGAGTAAACTGAGGCTCCAGGGAGCAGAAGGGGCCCAGATGCAAATCCAGGCCTGCCCAGCCCTGTTCGAATGCAGCACCCCACACAGCTTCTCCTGGCAGGCCCCTCAGCCCTGCTCCCTGTTCTCCCAGGAGCTCTGTGTGTCCCTGGTGGGGGCACCTCCTCCTTGCTACCCCCACATTCAGCAGGACCCACATTTGTAGGCGGCTCTCTGTGGGCCACTCTGGAGACACACCGCAGTGAAACCTAGTCCCTGCCGGGCCAAGCAGGACCCTGGGAATGAATCTTCCTCAGCTCAGCCTCTGCACCAAACTCCCAGTGCTGGCCCAGAGTCTTAGGAACTTTCTGGAATTTTAACTCCAGAGATGGAATATCTTGATGTCTGATTATTTTGGGAACCAGCCCACAGGGCAGCTGATTCCCAGGTTTAGGGATGGAATTGGTGCTCGAGAGCTGGGCCTTGATCGTCTGCTCCTGGTGCTGGGCTCCATGGAATTCCAGCATTCCTCAAGATGTTCCCTGAAACCTGGCTCTGCTCAAGGAAGTGTGGGAGACCCTGCAGACTCTTACTGCTTTGGGGGTGTCACAACCACATTATCCTACAGAAGAGGAATCTGGGTAGCACAGCATTTCCCTACCACATTTGAGCACAGCATTCTTCCCTTGCAGAGCACGTCCAGAGCACCAGGACTGACTGCGTTCGTGCCCCTCGGCGCCATGCCGGGCTCTTGTCTGCTCTGCTCTGGTGGCGAGCTCTCTCTCAGCAGGCCGATCTTCCTGGGAGGGGGACAGTTTCACGACTGCAATCTTGGAAGCCGTTCTTACTCCTCCCTCTCATAAAAAAGTTAAACATAGGGGAAAAATAAGTTGCTGGCCTCAAATGGAAGTAAACAGCTGGAACTGATGAATTCCAGAAGCATGTATCCTTTTTTCTACAAACAGCTATGGGAGGGAGAGACGTGGGGCTGGGAGGAGAGAGAAGGAGACCGCAGAGGCTATGTAAATACAACCAGTTCCAAGGAGCGTACCTTCCACATTTTCCATTAGGTAGCAGGGAGGTCACTGTGGGGCCAGCTGTCCAAATACAGCGTTGATTCCCCTGAGTCAGCAAAGTATATACAAAAAGTTCTCTTTGGGGACACAACTTTCTTGCCACACATTCTCGTAAGCACCTCCAAATATATAGGATGTTATATTTAGGGCTGTGGTTTTCAAACTTTTATTCAAAGCAGGAAAATCCCTTTTTTAAGAGAAATCTTATGCAAAAACCCCTTTGAACAGCCCCCAGGCCGGCCCGAGTTATCTTAAGGAAACGCCAGGAATCTGGGCTGGAAACCTGCTGTCTGCGCCGGCCTTGCTGGCCCGTGAGAAACGCAGAGCCGGCCGCGCCGGCCGCGGGTGGGACCTGCCTTTCCACCGCGCCCGCAGGTCTGGGGGATTTGCTTCTGAATATTTCTTCCTGTTGGCTCATCCTAAATACTTGGATGCAGCTTCTTGAAAATTAATCAGGAAATTCAGGCTCCCAATCCAGCGACAGCTCAGGTAGGGTGATCCAGGAGAGCGCGGAGGCCGGCGCTTCCTCCCGGACTCAGCCTCGCTCTCCTTCGCGGAGACGCGGGGAAGGGGCCGCTCCAAGGAGGCGGGACAGCGGAGTGCTCTCCAGACCCCGCCGTGGCAGGGTCCGCTTGGAGCCCGACACTCCACCCCCTCCGGACACCCGCGCAGGCTGAGCGGAGCCTCTGCGGTGGTCGGGTCGGTGCACAGGGTGGGGGCGATGCCGGCCACGTGGCAGGCCCGTCAGTGCAGCGGCAGACTGGACGCGCAGCTCGCGGCGTGACCGGGGAGGGCTCGTAGTCCGGGTGGGCGGGTGCCAGCTCGTCCGGGCCTGGCCGTGAGGAATGGACAAAGGAAAACCTGGGCCTATCAAACAGACATATGGGAGTCACGTAGGAGTCGCCGGAGGGACTTTCCAATAGTCCTGCCGGGAGCGAGCACAACGCCAGCTTTTTAATTTACGTGTCACTTCTATTTTTAGACTTAGAGTCAGAAAGTTCTGTTTCTGTTCTCTTCCCACGTATGAACCTGGTGATCTTGGGCAAGGCCTTGCGGCTTCTGCCACACTCATCGTCATCGCCCAGGGGCGGGGCTGTGTCCCGCCGAGCCGCGCAGCCCAGCGGACACGCGGGGCAGTGAGCTCCCCGCGCCGGGCCCGGAACTGGGAGAGTCGCTCTCGCCAGGACAGGGCCCTGCAGGAGACGGAGCTCAAAGTCGGAAGTGTGCGCTCTGCAGAGCCCCGCGCAGGCAGGAAGGCTTCTCCTGCCAGGGCTTCACCATGAGCACGTCCCTCTATTTGGAACACCAGCGTGAGGTCACCTGCACCCCAATCTCCTCCCTGCCCTGAGATGAAAGTGACCCCCAGCTCCGCCCAGAGCCAGGCTGGGGAAGCAGCCAGGCAAACCAGGAGAGGCCGAGCCATGCAAGCCCACTCTGGCTGGCCTGCAGGCCTGGGTGCGCTGATGGGCCACCCCAGGTTGACCCCAAGGAGCCTGTGTGCCTGCTCCAGGGGCAGCCCCTCTGTGGGGGTGGGCACGGGGTGCTGGCGGCCAGGAAGTTCTCTTCCATGGCACTCTGAACCTCTATAGCCTCTCTGGTTTCTTGGCACCATAAACTGCTTGATCTCTATTCAGCAATTTTCTCTTACAAACAAGAGAGGGAAAAAAATAGAAAAGTTGTAATAAACAGATACTGGGAATTAGGTCACCCTAGAAATTCTAAAATATCGAAAAGCTCTTGATAAGCGTGATTAATTCAGCGACCTCTGACCACAGCCAGGCCTGGAGCATGGAGGCCGAGAACTGGAGTCCGGAAGGAGTAGGGCAGAGAGCAGGATCGGGAGGACCCTCCTCGAGGGAGGCTCTGCTGCCACTTTTGCTCTGGTGCACGGGCCTGCTGGCCTGGGGAGGGCCATGGGGGTTCTTTCGGGTCTGGGACTGGCTGCGGCCAACGGGACCTACTAGCACATAATTCAGCGTAGTGTTCTTCGACTCGCAGAACACAGTGCCACCGCTGGGTGGGGTCATGCCCCTTGCCCGTCTGTGTGAGTGTCGTCATTGTACTTCCATTTCATTGGTCTTGATGCCACCCTGGTGTCTATGGGGGAAGGAGCAGTGGCCCGAGATTTGGCCTGCAAAGAGGTCACTGCTGTACAGCAATCAGACAAGAGAGCGGAATTAAGGGCGTCCAAATGGGAGCAGAAGAGATCGAACTCTCACTCTTCGCTGATGACATGATATTATACCTAGAAACCCCAAGGATTCAACCAAGATACTCCTTGAATGGATAAATGAATTCTGTAAAGTCTCAGGATACAAAATCCATGCACAGAAATCAGAGGCATTCATATATGCCAACAACTGTCAAAGTGAGAACCAAATCAAAGACTCAATTCCCTTCACAATAGCAACAAAGAAAATAAAGTACCTAGGAATATATTTAACTAAGGAGGTAAAAGACCTCTACAGGGAGAACTATGAAACACTGAGGAAGGAAATAGCAGAGGATGTAAACAGGTGGAAGACTATACCATGCTCATGGGTCAGCAGAATCAACATTGTTAAAATGGCTATACTACCCAAAGTGACCTACAGAGTCAATGCAATCCCTATTAAAATACCATCATCATTTTTCACAGATATAGAAAAAATAATTTTATGCTTTTTATGGAACCAGAGAAGAGCCCATATAGCAAAAGCAACCCTAGGCAATAAAAACAAAATGGAATTTATCAATTTACCAGACTTCAAACTATACTACAAGGCTGTAGTCATTAAAACAGCTTGGGACTGGCACAAGAACCCCTGTTCTGCATGAGCAGCAGTAGCTAGACGAGCCCAGACAGCAGGGCCACCTGTCTCTAGGAGCCAGCAGCAGCCAGAGGGAGATCTGCACCGTCCTAGCGCTCACCTGCCAGTGGTCAGGGGCTCCCCGTGCCAGCCACAGCCAGGCCACCTCGAGCTTGGCTCGCGGCAGCCCTCTGCCTCCAGAACCACCATTCTGGGTATTGCTAGACGTGGATGGGACCAGGGAGCTCAGAGAGACTTTGGCAGGACCTCTCCTCTGTCCCTGTCCCCCTCCCCGCACGGAGCCGGCCCCCAGGGGCCTGCGCTTCCCATAGACCTGCTCTGCTTCGTTCCAGGGTGGACCTCCTCTGTCGGTCACAGAGACATTTCTCAGTCACTTGCAAAGTGCCACTGAAGCCTGCTTCTTCCAAAGGCATTTGTCATGAGGAGAAACTCGTCCCACTTTCCACGCAAGGACATCGGGAAGCCGCCTCCACCCAGCCTCTGTCCCCTCAGCAAAAGCTCCCTTCCCCACCTGTGGCCCGTGGGACCGAAGTCTCAGGGCGAGGCCTCTCAGAGGTGTCAGGAGGGTGTGGCGGCCCCACAGCCTCATCTGAGAGGTCAGCAGACGGGCAGTGGGGTGGTCACCCGGGACGAAGACAGATGGTCCTTTTGTCACTGTCCATGGTGCATCGCTGCTGCTGCACCTGCATTTACAGACCTAGTTTCCAGAAAGTTCACAAAGCCCGGAAACCCCTCAGTCCTCTCCCTTCCAGAGCCAGTGATGGCAAAGGCCGAGTGAGGGTGACTTTAGGGTCATCGAGTGCTGTCTGCGTGAGGGGTGACGCTGAGACAGTAAGGAGTTTGCCCACAAGTAACTGAGTGAGCTGGAATAGAATTCAGTGGAACCCAAAGCCCGCGCCTTTCTCTGATGCTCCGGCTGCTCTGGGCTGGGCAACGTGTCCATTTCATGGGTGGCAGCAGGATCAAGTCAGATCCGGGGTGGGGACTGAAGCCTGTGTCCTCCCCGCCTGCGTGGCCGACTGAAGTGGGTCAGGGGTTCCTTCCTCCCCTCCTCCTCCTCGGCCTTAAAGTACAATTATGTAACCGACACACAACAGACCACACACAGTGTTGGATTTGATGAGTTTCGACACAGGCAGCAACCGAGGACCCCTCCCAGCATGCCGCAGCGGCAGACGCCGTCCCACCGGCCCTGCAGTCCCTGAGGGGACCAAGAAGGACCAGGGCCCTGGCCAGGACTCCCCGCCACCGGACATGGTGGCCGCTGCAGATGGGGCCACTCTCAAATGAAAGGTCAAAAAGAAGGGGCAGGAAGAGAAGAAAGAAGAGAAGCCTTCAAGAGAAGGCTAATAAGAAAAGAAAAAAGGCGGATGCAACACAGGTTCAATTAAACTAGAGCTTCAGTTTTGGCCAAATTATAAGTTAACTCCTGCCGCCTAGAGCATTTAGTTACAGGCAAACCGCACGGGCCACCTGTTGTTTTGCCGTTTTCCTTCTCTGGTGGACTCATTGGGACGAACGTCGCACAGTGAGGACGACGGGACCCTTTGGGGAATTGGGGACTCAGTGATGATAAACATCTTGTCTTCAGAAACTCATAAATGTTTCAGTGCCAGACCCCAAAAGCATTAGATTTTCATCCTTAATTTGAATGCAGACCACTTGGCAGTCTAGCTTAGACTTCCCGCATGTGTTTTATTTTCTTTATGGGGTCAAGAGAGAAAAAAGGCGGCAGACCTCTCCCTCATTCTGTCTGCGTCTGCACAGCACGACCGTCTGCTGGTTTTCTTTGATTGGATCGTTATTCCTCTCACTTCGCTTCTCCACACAAGGGAGGGGCATGGATCAGGGGATTTTGTGCTTATATTCCTGACGTAACCAGGATCATTTGCATTTCTCATCTGTTGCTCCAGCTTGAGCCCTCGGAGAGAAGCCGCCAAACCTGGGTGTCCCCATGTGGCCCAGGGCTGCAGTTCCCAGCTAGAAGGTGACCATCCTTTCAGACACCCTGGGGACCGGGGCCAGGACGAGTGGCTCAGGTTGGTGTTTGTGCCATTTCACTTCATACTGTATCATCTCGTAGTAATCAGCAGCTACCAAAATCCAAATAACTGGGATAAATTCAGATTTTAAATGGCATGGTGGAGCACCTGTGATGGCCAGTCACTCTGCCCGGGCACCTTGCAAAGGCCACGTGCCTTCAGTGCTCACAGCGGACAGGAGGGCGGGGAATCGGCCTCCTGCCCTGGCCTCCCAGAGGGGCCCCGCCAGGACTTCTGCCTGCGGCTCCAGCATCTCCTGCCACAGAGCCTGCCGCCCGGCGGGATGAGCCCGCCTCGGGCCCGCGTGCCGGCCGAGCCATTGGTGCGGAGGCCACCGCCGCCTGCCATCCGCCGTTTATTATACAAAGCCTTTTGTAAAAACGGACTCACGTTTTACTGAAATACAATGCTTTATAAGGAAATGTCGTGTGACTACCCTGAAGGGGAAAGCGGCATCACTTGTCGGACCAGAGACAGCTCCAGGCGAGTGAGCTGCGACACCTGCTGCGCCGGGCGCTCGCCGAGGCCGCCCACGCGCACCTCCCGCGCTCCAGCGGCTCCTCCAGAAGCGGGAAGCGGAGGGCGACGGGCGCTCACGGCCTAGCCGCGCGGTGGTTGCTCGCCGAGGCCGCCCACGCGCGCCGCCCGCGCTCCAGCGGCTCCTCCAGAAGCGGGAAGCGGAGGGCGACGGGCGCTCACGGCCTAGCCGCGCGGTGGTGTCACGGTGTGCGCACGTGACCCAGCTCGGCAGATCGCACGCGTTAAGTAGGGCGGTGCTTTTGTTTATCAATCACACCTCAATGAAGCGTTTTAAAAACGCGGTGAAGACAAAACGACAGCATTGAAGTGCAGCTGCGCCTGCCAGAGCCTGCGCGGCCGGAGGTGCGGGACCCGCGCAGGGACAGCGCTCTCTGCGCCGTCCCGGGGAGCTGGCTCTCACCAGGCCAGGCCGCGGCCCTGTCTCGGGACGTCTGTCGGGAGCTGCCGCCAGCATCCCGCCCCTGCCCCGCTCGCCGCAGCCTGGCGGCAGGACGCCAACCGCCGGCCTCGCAGGCCCGCCTCCCCGCAGCTCAGCTCCCGCCTTCCAGAAACTGCCTCTCCTTGGCTTTGTTTGGGCACTGCTGCCCTGCCTTCCGGATTGTTCTCCTGCTCAGCCCCTTTTCGGAGTTCCTGCCCCTGTCGCGTGTGGACGGGGGAGAAACTGCTCAGCGCTGGTCAGCGTCTCGGGCGCCGCCGGCACCGTCCGACCATCTTCGGCAGGAGGGGCCCAGCGGGGCGCCCTGGGCCAGGCGGGCAGGGCTCTGTGGGTCCCGAGCCGCAGCCAGCTGTGCTGCGGGCGCCGTGCGGGGCGCCGGCCAGTCGCGGACCCACTCTCTATGCAGCACGCTCGCTCGTGCCGCTCTCTCCCCGGTGCGGAGGCGGGGAGGCGGGGGCAGGAGCCCTGCCACCCCCAGGGCCTGCCTGAGGGAGCGTCCACCTGCTCGGCCTGGCAGGGCCCGGGCCCTGTGGGGTCTCTCCTGGGCACTGGGTGGGGCATCCACTTGCTCCAAGGTTCACCTGGGTCTTGGCATCCAAACGGCCCACCGCCTAATGTGAGTTTATCCAGAGACCCTTCTGGGAGCAGTGGCGTGCTCCCTGCCCAGTGGCGGCGCCCACGGCCAAAGCCGCCCCAGTGCGTCTCCCACCGGCTCCCGGGGAGCCCCCAGCCGCACCCCGCCGCCCGGCACCTCCTGCTGGCGGGGCACAGGTTTGGACCTGTGCCGCAGGTGCCCGGGACTCCCCCGCCCCACAGACGCCTCGTGGGGCTGGCCGGCCGCTGTCTGCCCCTGAGGACGTCCCCAGGAGAGGAGGGTCCTTTTGCAAACAAACAGGTGTTTGCAGTGGCCCAGCCGGCTCCACTCGCCCTCAGGGACAGCAGACTGGCGTCCTTCTTCAGGTAGACCCACTCTGGGGCGGCCCTGAAACCCCCGGCAGGCGCTCCCACAGCACCGCAGTGCTCGCCCCTCTCGCTGCCCTGGGTGCGCTGGTGGAGCCTGTCTGCGGGACACAGGCGACTCGCCACGTGGCAGAGCCCCGCCCTCTCAGGACAGGGGTCCGAACTGACACCGCGCAGCCCAGTCGTGGCACCTGCAGCCGCACTGGCTCCGTTTCCGTCCAAGGGCCCTTCACCAGGCCGGCCCGGCACGGGGCCCAGACTTCCCCCGGAAAGGAGGGCACGAAGGCTGGGCCAGGAATCAAGTCACCACTCTCCTTTTTGTGTGAAACTTAGCCTTTGAAGAAACAAAAAACCTTTTCGCATCTGTCTGGGGCCAGCGGTGTGCTGACGGCGTGGTGCGTCTCTGCCGAGCAGCGGGCGCCCTGGAGGCTCTCCTCCGCCGGCCACAGCCGCACTCCGCCCGGGCCGCCCGCCACAGCTGGCGACAGTGCCGCCCAGCTGGGCACAGAGGCGGGCGGTGTCCACGCCCGCGGCGCTCAGCCCGATTCACACCGCAGGTCCCACCAGCTGCGCTTCGACGCAGAGCATGGGAGTGGCCGCCTGGGTCCGTTTCGAGGCACCGTGGCACCCGTTGCTGTTGGAGCTGTCACCAAGCTGCAAGGACACAGTCCAGGGGCTGGTTTTACAAGTTTGTTGCTTAGAAATGCAACCCCGTGTTGGCTCAGCTGATGCTCAGGCCTTTGGAGGAGTTTAGCAGCAGAAAGAAGATTGCTGTGACTCTAAAGCCACAAACTATGTATGGAATGTGTCATGGACTTTAACTGGGGACTGTTTTTTTCTTCTTTCTCATACAGCGTGAAGCAGTGGTTTCCAGAAGACGCTGTTTGTGTCTCCGGCTGTTCTGTAGAGTGTCTCCACTTTCAGCAGCCCTGTGGGTCCTGAGACAGGCTCTGGGTGTCGGCCGGGCCCCAGGGGCTGGTCCTCCAGGCGCTCCAGGCTGGGCCGAGCGCTGGACCGCCTTCCGAGGAGGAGGAGTCCTCGCCGCACAGGGAGGCTGCCTGGCGTGGACACGGCCCGCTGGGGACAGCCAGAGGCTGAAACCCACAGAGGCCCACGTGCGCTCAGCCTCCTCCTCAACTCCATGTTGAAGAAATTTGAGCCCCAGGGTTTTGTTTCATCCTAAAAAGTTAGCATTCTACTGTGACCTTTAGAAGGTCACGAACTACTCTGACCCCCTAGGCGTCCATAGCTTAGAAGGCAGTCTTGAGCGCGGACAGATGGGTGGGGGGCTGCGGCTTGCTGCGCGGTGGCGGCGCCTCACTCCTCCGCTTCTGTCCTCTCTCGGCTCCCTGGGAGGGGCGGTCCCACGCCGCCGTCCCCTCTGGGGCCAGTCTCGCTTACCCCAGAAGGCTAGCTGTAGCCGCAGGCCGCTGCGCAGTCGGATTGCATTAAAAGTCCAGGACCTGCGTTCCTGCCACGGCCGTCTGGGCCTGGAGGAGGGATGCGGGAATGGCCAAGTGCCTGGGCTGAAACTGCCGGTCACAAGCTGGCCATTAAGTCTGCCCAGGCAGCCGGGCGCTCAAGGGCAGTCCACGTCCTCTGGGCGGCGCGCAGCCCTGGGCGTCCTGCCCGGCCTCACCCTTGGCGACAGGGTCTTCAGCCTGTTCCCGCCGCCCACGTAACGCGGAGATCTGAAGCCTTTGCACCCTTCGATTCTAATCCAAGTTCCCATCTCAGCGTGGCTTGGAATGTAGAGTGACTTCTGTCCTGAACATGCAGGTGGCAGAAAGCTCCACCAGGGAGGGTCTCAGAGCCGGTTCAGTCAGGAGACCTCCAGCAGACACCTCGGTATGGTCAAGGGCTGGAAGGGAGCCCACCTGCGAGGGTCGCCGTCACAGAGCACCTCTGTGGGAGACCGGCTCCCATTCTGGAGGTTCAAAGTCCAAGACCAAGGCGCGGCAGGGCCGGCTCCTTTCGAGGCTGCCAGGGAGGGTCTGCGGTGCCTCTGTCCCGGCGCCGGTGCTTTGCCGCTGCCCCTGGCGTGTGGGAGCATCACCCCGTCTCGGCCGTGGCGTCCACATGGCAGCCTCCTGTCTGCGTGCCTGTGTCCAGATGTCCCCTCCCTGTGAGGACACCAGCCGTAGCCAGCCAGCCAGTCAGCTTAGGGCCCAGCCCCACACCCTCCTCTTACCTAACCACATCTATGCCGACTCTGTTTCCAAACAAAGCCGCGTTCTGGGGAACTGGAAGTTGGGACTTCAACATGTGAATTCGTGGAGGACAAAACCCAAATCATAATGCTACCCTGTCTCTTGGGCCTTGGGGAGTGGACGGATATTCCGGAGGCTTAATTCCTCCATCTGCGACATTTCTGATCTTTACGACTCTTTCTAGTTCTTAGGCATAGTGAGTCTGCAGAGTATGGCAGTCTATTTCACTCTTTATCAGCAGTCTCCAAGCAGTTCTTTTCATTGAATGTCATTTTTTAAACACTTTAGCTATGCTTTAAGAAACTTGTCTTTTTCCACCTTCAGCCATGGTTATTTGCATGGGTGATATTTAACATGTATCTAATGACCAGTCAGGGCTCAACCAGTCCAGTGGCCCATTGTGGCCGCACTGGGACATATCGGCCCTTTTGGTATTGGCCTTAGCTCACCTTTTTGACTTAATATTATTCTTTAAAAAGTTAGTTTTTTTCTTATTTTAAAATAAATATGTAATCATTATTGAAAATTATAAGGAATAAAATAAAAATAATCTACAATATCACTTTTTAGTGACACATTTTGATATCCAAGCTGTTTTTATGTGTATTCTGCTTTTTCTACATTTTCTCCTAGATTTTTTGTGCCATTAGTTTTTGAAAACATGATCTTTATCTTTGCAAAATAGTCTATCCTATAGCTGTACCATTTCCATTTTATAAAATTACAAATCGCCCATCTCAGCATCACTGTACTTAATCTTAGTGCACACATCCAACTGGGCCTTGGGGCAGCTCCTCAGCGTGGACTCATCAGGTGAAAGCGTGTGCGGTCGCTAGCGTGTGTTTCCAAGCAGGCCTGTGGGAAAGTGGTGGCAGTGAGGGCTCGGACTAGTGGCTTCTGAAATCAGCCATTTTCTTAGGGATGTTTGCTCTTTTCCCATCGATCTGTAAGAACTCTTGTTAGGATATTAAATCTCTTTCTATCAAACATGTTGAAACTATGAATTTAAAACTGCCTTATTAAGTTTATAGACTTTCCCACAATATCAAATTCTGTGTCTTGCGCACAGTAGCACCCAATAAATATCCAAAGAACATAAAAGATGGACTCCTGGCAGTAAGAGGCATCTATTCCAGCCAAAGGAATATGAGCAGACAGCAGAGAAACAGAATGGAAGGAACGCGGGGGGGGGGGGGGGGGGGGGCAGACCAGTGGAGTGGGTCAGAGAGGAAGGGGTGACCAGGGATACCAGGAGCCTGGGGTCTCCACGACAGGAGCTTGATTACGTTTAGGTCTTTGGCGTGACTTTTTACCTGAGAGGAAGACGTTCTAGGTTGAAGGCTGAGCCTGAACACACAGCACATGGCATGGACACACCTGGCACATGTGGGGAGGCTGGGTCACTGGGCCCCAGGACTCTGCAGACAGAGGGCCGAGCTGGCAAGCACCCTGCTTCGACCTTCGGTTGGGGAGGAGGGCGTGGCAGCGTGAGGAGGAAGGAGAGGCCAGGCGAGAGACTGACGACTCACCTTAGAAGTAGCTGTGACATCGAAGCTTGATGGCAGTCGCCACGTCCCAGCCCTGCCCTGGCAGTAGTGTGCGGCGGGCCGCGGCAAGGGTCTGCGCTCAGCGCTCAGACGGTTCCGGTAATGGGGACCTGCAGCCCAATTTCCAAAGCCCATCTCAAATGCCATTTTCTTTTTCTTTTAACTTAAAAAAATTACCTTGCTTGATACATAAATCACACTCCGTACAGTTCACCTGTTAGGATGTAACTGAATGCGTTTCGGCACATTCCCAGAACTGTGCAGCCGTCACCACAGTCCATGTGGAACAGTCCGGTCATTCCCCCAGAAAAGACATCCCTACCCTGAGACAATCAACCCTCCCAATCCCCTCCTCCCCGTCCTAGGTAACCACACCCCGCGTCCCCTCCTCCCGGTCCTAGGTAACCACGCCCTGCGTCCCCTCCTCCCAGTCCTAGATAACCACACCCCGCGTGCCCTCCTCCCGGTCCTAGGTAACCACGCCCCGCGTCCCCTCCTCCCCGTCCTAGGTAACCACACCCCGCGTCCCCTCCTCCCGGTCCTAGGTAACCACGCCCCGCGTCCCCTCCTCCCCGTCCTAGGTAACCACGCCCCGCGTCCCCTCCTCCCGGTCCTAGGTAACCACGCCCCGCGTCCCCTCCTCCCGGTCCTAGGTAACCACGCCCCGCGTGCCCTCCTCCCCGTCCTAGGTAACCACGCCCCGCGTCCCCTACACCCCATCCTAGGTAACCACACCCCGCGTCCCCTACACCCCATCCTAGGTAACCACGCCCCGCGTCCCCTCCTCCCAGTCCTAGGTAACCACACCCCGCGTCCCCTACACCCCATCCTAGGTAACCACGCCCCGCGTCCCCTACACCCCATCCTAGGTAACCACGCCCCGCGTCCCCTCCTCCCCGTCCTAGGTAACCACGCCCCACGTCCCCTCCTCCCTGTCCTAGGTAACCACACCCCGCGTCCCCTCCTCCCGGTCCTAGATAACCACACCCCGCGTGCCCTCCTCCCCGTCCTAGGTAACCACGCCTCGCGTGCCCTCTCCCGCCCCGGTCCTAGGAACAACCCGGTCCCTACACCCCATCCTAGGTAACCACGTCCCCGCGTCCCCTCCTCGCCAGTCCTAGGACAACGAGCCGCGTCCCTCTCCCGTCCTAGGTAACCACACCCCGCCGTCCCTCCTCCCGGTCCTAGATAACCCCACCGCGTGCCCTCCTCGCCAGTCCTGGTACCAACCGCCCGCGTGCGCCTCTCCCCGTCTAGGAACCACGCCCCATGTCCCCTCCTCCCAGTCCTAGGTAACCACGCCCCGCGTCCCCATCTCCGGGTCCTAGGTAACCACCGCCCGCTGTCCAACCTCCTCGCCTGTCCTCGGTAACCACGCGCACGCCCCGCGTCCCATCTCTATGGCTCTGTCTCTTCTGAGTGGTTCAGGCAAATGGAGGCACACGTGCCCGCACTTCCCTGGGGCTGGCGGGACGCACGCCGCTGCGGGGATGTGCGCTTTCCGTTAGCTGTCCGTGGAGGTTGTGTGGTTTCCACACCTGGACACTGGAGACATGGTCTCCTGCCCAGGCTTTATTGTCATCCCTCAACCAAATGTGGCTCCTGCTGACGTGACCCGCAGCCACTCCTCATGCCACCAGGCGTGGGCAGGCGCGGCGGAGGCCCGCCCGCCGCTGCTGAGGTCCCGCGGGGCGTCAGCCCTGGGCTGTCTCCTGCTGGTCTCCAGGCCTTGCGGATCCCGTGCCGGCGCTGCAGGAGAGCAGCGGTGTCTGTCTAAGGCGGAGTGGAAGTGTGCGCGGAGTGGAAGTGTGCGGGGGGACGCGCACGGCACGCTCCCGCCAGCCTCCGTGCGTTCCTCCTTGACGGCTCCATGGGCAAGAAAAGCAGCCATTCGCGTGGGAGCCTCTGCCGCCCCGGACTCGCCGCTGCACTGAAGAACACGCGCACGGTGTAGCCTGGGTGCCGAGGAAATGGGTCGAAATGCCTTAAAGTTAAAGCAGTTGCTCTGTTGCGAGTGACCGTCCACAACACTCAGAAAAAAATGCTGTTTTCAGGCTTGATCAGAACGTTAGTGGAAACATTTTTGTGTTCAGGCTCTTTTGGTGACATGCGACTGAAGTGACTGAGCTGTGAATTATGCGTTTTAGACCAGGGCACTTCTGTCCTGGCCTCTGATGAACATTCCAGAAGGCCCCCAGAACCTGACGGACACTTGCTCACTCTGTCCCCTCGTCCCCCTGCAAGGGGCCGGGAAACAGTCATAACGAGAGTAAATGGTGCCGGCCAGGGAGTGCCCAGTGCTGGCCTTTTCAAGGTCCCTTTCAGGACAAGGGCCCTGCCTCCGTGTCTTCTGTTTGCCAGGAGTCACCTTACCCCTCCCACACAGCGCGAGGACAGGGACAGGGAAGCAGATCTGGGGGGGAGAGCCGAGCTGGAACCTGCGGCTTCCCAGCCTCCGCCCTGCGCGCGTGCCTGGCCCCTGGGCTTCCACGCCCTGAGCAGCGGGACAACAGCCCCTTGCTGGGCGGGGCGGAACCCCACGGGGCAGGCGGAACTGGGCTGAGCAGCCCTCTTCTCTTTATTTCTAAGAGACAGGGAACAGCTACCCCGTCACCTGCATTTCCAGGGGACATCACATCCACACCCTCTTGCATTATTGCCTGTGGCCACCGCGGGCAGACATCCCTCAGTGCCCACACCTCTGTCGCCCTCAGCCACAGCAGGGCCTGAGCTCCCCGGGGAGACACGGGGTTTCTGCCACCAGGCCACAGAGCGCCCCTTCTCCTCTGTTCCAGGGGGCGATCGCAGCTCAGTGTCACTGTGTGTGGAGAGTGTTCAGTCACAGCAACCAACCCGCTGTCCGATCAGCGGCTCTAGCAGGATTCTGCTGCACACGCCGCCTCTCCTGCCTCCCTCCCGGGTGCGGGCAGAGGCCCCAGTTCGCCTGCGTGCGGCTGCACCGCTGCCGGAGAATGAGCGGAGACAGCAGATGGTTTGTGGTGTGGATTCTCCCCCAGTTTTTCCAGAACGTTCAGCCAGCACCGTGGGCCTCCCTCCTAGCGGCACGGTCAGCCATGGACACTCCCTCCAGCCCCTCCAGCCCCTCCAGCCGTGGTGGGGCTGCGTTGTCCTGGCCCCGGGCTGGGGGAGGCGGGGACCTGGCGGTCGTGGGGGCGGGCGTGGGAGTGCTGCCTGGCAAGTGCTGTCCTGGGGACAGGCCTGGCCGGGCTGCGGACCAGCAGCTGCTGGGCCCGTCTGCCTGCATCTCCCCCGCCAGGCCTTGCCCGCAGCACGCTGAATCCCCGCCTCCCCTTCTGCCCAGCGGGGACCTCGCAGCTGTGCACCGCCGCGGCCTGGGCACCGCACTGCTGGCAGAAAGGCAAGGCGGGCAGGGGCAGGACGCCGGCCACGTGACCTGGATCCGAACCGAGCTCGGCACGGCCTTTCTTCAGAGCCAGCAGACGCGTAGAGGATGCCCCTCTCCCAGGGCTTAGTTACCCTGGTAAAAGTCCTTCTGGGGAAATACTCGGGGAGTGTTTACTGTGCGTGCTGTGGCGGCGGCTCCACGACTCATCTCAAAAGTACACGGCCCTGTCTTCAGTTACTGGGCTCTGGTCTGAGAGTCGCGCAGAGAGGTTGGCGCCGGCTGTTGCTGTCCTTGCTACCTGACATGCGGGTTGTCCTGGCAGCGCTGAGGCCAACCGCGGCCAGCCCCCATGCGGCTGGCCTCTGAACAGCGAGGGTGTTGGCCTGTGGGTCTGCCTGCCCTGGCTTCACCGACCCTTCCTGGGTTTACATTCGCCTCTCGTTTGCTATTCCAGGATCCTATTCTGCCTATCAGGAGTGGAAGGCCCAGTTCTGTGGAAGTTTCTAGACTACAGAGGAGATCCACCATCAAGCTCCTCAAAAATATCAATGCTCCTGCCATCTGCACCCCACCGCCGACTCACCCCTGATGGCTTCGGGGAAGGTCCTCCGGGCCTCCCTGGGGAGCGTGAGCAAGGGCGAAATCCGTGAGTCTGCCTGGTGGGTGGGCTGACGTCCCCACGCTCCTGAGGCCTGTCTCCTCAGCACCAAGGAAGGGCAGCGCCAGCACCTCCGCCCGTCCCTGAAGTCCTCCGATAGGCCCAGACTTCAAGCAGCCTCCCGGCTGTGCGAGGACTGGCTCGGGTGTCCGTCCCAGAACTGAAGTCCCAGTCATGAATGATACCCCAAGTCAAGAAATTCACCCTTTTTAGACATTTATTCCACTGGCTCTATCCAATGCAAGCCAGAGCTCCTCCCAGACCCACTCCTCAAGCTCCTGCTAGGGCCCCTCTGGTGCACAAGCTGTTTCTCCCGAAGCAGGGACTGTTTACTCACCTGGGCTAGGCTGACACCTAGTCATAATTATCCTGAAGGAAAAGAGGTGTGGTCAGGCGAATCTTGAAAAAGAGAAGTGTGCGTTACCTCCCAGCCACTTCCAGGCACAGAGAGGCTGTTCTCCAGCGGCAAATGAGAGCGTGGGACGCCAGGGAGAGCCGGGTTCAGCCTCAGGGCTCAGCCTCTCTCCTCCCGGTGCTCAGAATGCGACATGGGAGAGGTTTCACAGCTATGCACTCAATATTCTGCATGGGTTGGCTGTTCTTCAAACCGGATCATGGCTCTTATTTTCAGTACACACTGCCCTGCAGACTGCAGGTGACAATTGTCTAAATGCTGCCGTCGGGTCTCTTTGGCTTCCACACTGTGCCTTAAGCTGATGTAGCCACGTGCCACGTGACAGCATCGTGGTCAACACGGACCACATATATGATGTTGGTCTCATAACATTATAGTGTCATATTTTTACTGTACTTTTTCTATGTTTAGGTACGTTTAGATATACAAATACTTACCATTCTTTTACAGTTGCCTGCAATATTCAGTACGATAACATGTGGCACAGGCTTGCAGCCTGGAGCAACAGGCCGCACCACACAGCCCAGGTGTGCAGGAGGCTCGACCACCTAGGTGTGTGGAAGCACATTCGATGGTGTTCACACAACTGAATCCCCTGAGGATCCATTTCTCAGAATGTGTTCCTGCCATTAAATGACACATGGCTGTCATTTGTTCTTCTGAGCCTACTTGGCAGCATCAGGGGCCAACTCCGCAGTCCTGTGATCATCCTCGTCTCTGCACTGACCAGACACCATGGCCACCATGTGTCCCAGCACTTCGCCTTCCACTTGCACCTCGCTCCAATCTATCACGGGATTATGACTCGAGTAGTCACGATGGCATTGCATGTCCAATGTTATCACCATCTCTTACTGTTAGGGACCGACCTTCCACAGCCCCACCGGACAGAAAAGCAGAGACATTGAGGATGCAATCACACAAGAGGAGGTTTATTTTCTGGCTAGCCAGGGTCCAAGCCCCAGAGCACCAACGCAGTGGCCACTCTCGCAGGCAAGGACCCCGACCGAGGTTGCAGCGTGCCTTTTATCCCCATGGTGCGTACGCTATGCAGTGGCTGATCACGCGTGGATCATGCATTGACCTTTAACATGATTGGTTGGCTAGTAGCCCCACTATACAGGGGTTCAAACAATGCAAAGTTGGCAAACAACAGTTTCTATGGTGCAGGCAAGCAAGCAGCAGTTTCCAGAAGCGGACGTCTCAGTCAGCCTTCCCGGATGTTGCTTCCGGCTTCACTGGGGGCGCGGCGCCTTGCAGGTGTGCAATGACTCAACCCCTCACATTACCACTGGGCCACCACCGCAGGTACTGGTACTCTTTGCTGAGGAAGTTATGAGGGGTGTCTCAGAACTGTCTGCCAGGGGACAAGAGGCAGAGCCTTTACCTGTCAGTTTCTGTCCTGTTGGCTGAGGATGCACGTGTGGGCAGGGAGCCCCTGCATTCCCAAGTTGCAGGTGGGTCATGCGGAGCAGCTGCTTGTGCGCGAGGAGGAGCTCCGAGTCAGGAATCAAGAGGTATACTGCAGGGGCTGAAGCAGTGTCTTCAGGTCCCACCTGCCAAAGCCAGCCAGTGTCCGTGTGGAGCTGGCCGCTGGAGCGGGCTGAAAGAGTCCGAAGCGATACATGGGACGCCAGATACAACCGCCCATGCTAACGGAGAACTGCATCACCACAAACAATACATTGCGTTTGGTTTGGGATATGTTTAGCATTTCTTTTCCAAAACTTCGGCCTTTTAAATTAATTCTGTGTAGCCCAGGTTAATATTAGAATGAGATTGCATTTCCTAAGATTGCATTCTGGCCCCAGACAGCCAGGGGGAAGTGGAAGGAAAGTGCAACCTGCTATCTGAAGTGCCGTGCCCTGCACAGAAAATCCACGTGAGTCATTCATGTGACAAGAAAGCAATGTTCTAGGCGCTGGGATCACAGCAGTGAACAAAACAGAAAAAAGCAACGCTTTGGGGAGCTTACAATAGACAAATAATTGACTGACGTGCGAGAAGGCGGGAAGTGCGGAGGGGATGCCTCCAGGCCGGAAGAGGGCAGGGAGCACATGTTGGGGGCTGCTATTTCAAACAAGGTGCCCAGGAGGGGTCTCCTGAGAAGGCAACATCTGAGCAAAGACTTGAAGGAGGGGAGGAACACGGATATCTGGAGACAGAGCATTCCAGGCAGGAGGGATAGCAAATGCACGGGCTTTGGGGGGACACGACTACATGGTGGGAAAGTGGCCGCACGGCCACTGGGCTGGAGCCCAGCGGAGCAGGAGAGTGAACCAGAGGGTTGGCAGGGGCCACGCCACGTGGCACCTAGAGCCACAGGAACTCCTCCAATTTTACTAGAAGGGAGGGAGAAGGGAACCCCTGGAGAGTCTTGAGCAGCGGAACCGGTGATGCTCTCTGGTGTCTGAGCTGCGCACACAGCGACACGTCAGCATGAGCACGCCCAGCTCCCAGCACGGTGCGGGGTGCCGTGTCACAGGACTGCCACCCCTCACATGCAGCAAACACGCACAGCTGCCAGGGCGTCAGTGTCAGGGGTCACCATGGGTGACTTACGCAATGATGGAACTGTGGCCATAGGTGAAACAGGGCTGATGGCAGACAACTCAGGGCACAGACAAACTTTCAAACTGCAAGGTCGGTCCACATGGAGGGACCCAGGTGCGTGGAGGCCCTGGCCAGCCCTAGCCTCGGACTCGTGTGGAGATAGACTCTGGCCTTTCCCCACATCCTACAAATCCTTCTCACCTTCCACCTGGGACATACTTCCACTGGCTATGCATACCCAAGCAACCAGCTCTCCCACCCACACCACCACCTGCCCACGCCACAGCATCACCGCACCCCCCACTACACACTCCACAACACTGCGCACCACCACAATGCACACGCACACCATCAGCGCACCCACAATGCACACGCACACCTCACGCACCCCACAATGCACCCGCCGCACTCGCGCACCACAATGGCACACGCCACGCTCGGCGCACCCCACAATGCCATACCCACACTCACGCACCCACACTCACACACCCCACCCTCACACACCCCACAATGCACACGCCACACCCTCACCGCACCAAAAATGCACAAGCCCACCCCACTACGCACCCCACAATCCCGCACACGCCACATCGCCCTCGCGCCACCACAATCACACACACACTCCTTTCTTCGTGCGCACCCCACAATACAGCACGCCACAACCTCACGCACCCCAGACAATGCCACCACGCCACACCGTCACGCACCACCCACAATGCACCCAGCCCACACTCACGCACCCCACAATACACACTCCACACCTCACACGCACGGGACCCACAATACCACACGCCACACACCTCAACGCACCCCCACAATGCACACGCCCACACCTCAGCACCACAATGGCACACGCCACAACTCCGCAGCACCCACAACTCACACTCCACACTCGTGCAGCCCCGAAAGGGAAGGCGCACTAAATGCCCACACCAGCACCTCACG